ATTATTAGCACATTACTGACTTTGAACAACTTTTTGGATTCTTTCAAATCCTTAAATAGAATCAATACTATCTCTGCCTTCTATATGAGGAAACTGAACCTCTATGAAGAGAATTAACTTTCCTAAAAACCACAGTTATCTGCCAGCTTTTCCTATCTGGTTATTTGGTATTTACTTGTCTTCATCTCAAAGTGTGGCTAACTACAGGCCATCTATTTATTGTGTGGACTTTATTTTTTAACGTTTTAACCCCATAATTCCATCTGAAGAACAGGAAACTGTCATTGTTCTCACATGTTTGGCCCCTCTGTCTCCAGAGCACTAGTAAGAGGGCTGGTAGGGACCGCAACGACGCAGGAGGTGGGGTGAGGACTGTTTATTCCCATTTTGTAGTGGCCCCTAAGAGGCTCTGGCCTCCAGGTCAAATCTCTTACGATAAAGGAAAGGGTGATCACACGTTAGCAAAGAAGAGATTCTGAAATCTTTTCTAAATTTAAAAACAGTAAATACATATTCAAGTTTGGCTCTGTTCTAATGCCTAGAACTTCCATGCCCTGACTAATCTGAGACAAGTTGATATCTCAGCCAATTCCCTACTATCCAAACAGTCCCAAATGAGAACGAAAGAAATCAAAACTTCAAAGGGAATTGGTGCATTTGCTTTATGATTTGTGCTACCTTTAAGGAGCTTAGTTTGACCAAGCATTTCATAGATTTTGCTTTAAACTTCTATCATTTAACTCTAGTTCACCCAAAACATTTTCATTTGTGGATGAAATAGTCCCCTAAATACTAAACCTACACAAGTTTATTAGAACACTAGAGCTATGCTCAGGAGAATCACAACCAAGTGAGACAGTAAATCATCTATTTCCTTTACCTCATCCAGTTGAAATATCTGGATAGATGTCTAAAAAACAAAGTACGTAATTCAATTCTGATTTTTATTTTAAGTTGTAAAGCTTTAGATACACCGACTGCCTAGAAAACAGTGTTATTTTCTCCCTTCCTAGATTCTTCTCTCTACACTGTCCCCAAATCATATTTCCTCTCTAAGTAATTATTCAAACTTTGGTCTTTTAGTTGAGACAGCCAATGAGGCACACAAGTCAGAAAAATCAGGATGATTTTTCATGTGACAGTAATTGACATTAAGTGGCCTCTNGGGGGAGGTGGGGGGCAGAGAGGTACCTCAGTGTCAGAGCTGTTTCCATTCAGAGCCTCGATGTTTGGGTCCCTCCAGTCTTCTGAGAGTGAAGGGATGTAATTGTCTGTCAGAGCATCCCAAACCCTGTAAACAAAGAGAAGCTCTCATTAGCGCACATCTGTGGCTGGGCCCCGCCTGGAGGAAGGAAGAAAGAGCTGAGCCAGGGGAGGAGAGAAGCTTCTGTGTGTGCCAGGCTGAGGTCATCTGCCTTCCAGCATGCAGGAGCAAAGCAGCTTAGAAACTGAATTAGAGGCACCACGAGGAGAGAAAAAAAACCAAGAGAATGGACCCAGGCCAGGAGCTTCCATGAGAAAGGTGTGTGCTTCAGAGAAGAGGAATTCCTCACCACTGAGATACAAATGGTAGAGTTTACAATCAAACCACACCTGGCAATAAATAAATTGTCCCAGAAAATAAATCTGCCCCTCAACCAAATAGTTCATGTTTCATGAACCTGAGAAATGTCCTCTTCCTTTCCTATGGGCAGAGAGTTACAAGAGAAATAGATAGAGAGAGATAGAGACAGAGATAGAGAGATAGAGATAGAGATTTGGGCAGATTTTCAGGCTGGATCACAACAAGATCAGGGTGATCATCTAGTGCCAATGCTGTTAATGCCTACTTATTACCCAAAATTCTTAGCAAGCCCACTGGTGGCACAGTCCTGCTCTCCAGCAATGCAGAGTCTAAGTGTGCCATGTCTCCATCATGGACGTTCTAAGGCAAATATATGAAAGGAACCAATAAATACACCTGTGTCTACACAGTTACTTTTCAGTGGGGGAAGATGGGGCTCCCTTTATTACATTTCCTTTTAAAATTCTGATAGGCACATTGTAAGAAAGGGTTTTCTATAATTCTTGTTGCTTAACTCACTTCTTTCAGAAATTTCTTTGGGGGAAAAAAGGGGGTGGGAAAACCATGAAGTCACACATTCTCACACACAGGAAAATAAATAAATTAGTCAACGCCAAGAGATTAATGTAAATCCGTAAACCATGCTTCTAAAATCATGCCATCCATGAAAGCCACCAATGCCGGCGTTAATATTAGATAATACTAAATGAGGGCTCCGTGCAGTGTCCTTCAGGTGCCTATGCAAGTCAAACATGAGTGATACCTATGAAGCCAAGGAAGGTATACTAATATGTGGAAATAGCCACTCAAAAATAAGAAGTGTGTATACATATGGATCAAATTTAAAACATGACAAATATGGGTTAAAATGCTGAAA